AAATAAATAAATAAATATATCTTAAATTAAACAACAACATCAAAAAAGTTAATTTATTTTTATTTTAATTAAACATTAGTATATACAATAACAAAAATTTAGTTATTTAATTAATCTAAATAAATAATTAAATTAATATAATAATATGCAATAAATTAATTACAAACAAAATTTATATAAATAACAACTTTTAAAATAATTAACTTATTAAAACAAATTGATAAAAATAGATACAATACTACCAATAATTATCGTAATAATAAATGATTTAATAAATTGTGATTTAAATGCATTGAAAAATTTATTCATAAGCAAATAAAACTTTTCAATATATTTATTATCTGTATTATCGGGTAAATACTGGATATTGATTTCAATTGTTTTATTAGTTAATTGATTATTGAATGATTGAATTTTATATAAAATATGATACGAAAAATCTAGACAATCAAACAAACCGACAGTCGATTTGCATTTGTTTTTGCATTTAGTTTCAATATTAGCCGAATCTTTCCATTTATCGATAAATTTTTGGCCAATTATTGTTGAATTATTGTCGAAATATTGCCATAAATAACTATTAGGATAACCATTTGTTTGCCGTATAATCTCATCAATTATACATTTATGTTGACATTGTTTGATGGCCACACTATTATCATCATCATTAGCTAAACATTTCAAATATGGTAACCAATAGTTGTTAACACTAACCAATTGAAACTTATTTAAGACAAGTTTATAGACTAGTGTATGTTTATTGAAGTTATTTTTATTATTTTTAATTTTTTTACCATAAGTTTTAAATAATTTAATTTCATTGCTATTGAAAATTTGTTCAATTGGCGAATGTATAGCCAAATTTAGTAAATTATTTTCAACTAAATTTCTATCAAATACTTTAAGTTTGTAAACTAATGGCAATTGATTATTATTATTATTATTATTATTATTAGTTTTAGTAATTTTATAATTGTTGCTATCATCAAGTTTTAAATTATGTTGATTTAGTAAATTAATTGTCAAACAAACTTGTTTGCCATCAATTGATAATTTATTATTAGATTTTTTAGTAAAACAATTATCTAATTGTTTGCTAATAGTATTTAATACCTGACAATCAATTAGTTTATCAAACGATTCAATTAATTTGATTTGTTCAACTAATGTTAATCTACTATTAAAACTATCATGATCAAATATGTTTAAAACTAATTTATTATTATTATTATTATTATTAAATTTAATTTGTCTAACATATTGATTGTAGACATCGCGTCTAATAAGTATAGATTTATCGATACATACGGTCAGTGCCGGTAACTGTAGATTGGCTTTCAATTGTAGTGTTGAATATAATTGATATAAAAAATATATGTTATCAATGGCTATATATTTGGAAATAATAACTAAAATTGATGTAATTATAAATAATTTATAGATTAGATTCATACTAGTAAATCAAATACAGTATTTATAAACTATTAAAACAAATTTTGATTAAGTAATTTACATTATAAAATAAATACAGTAGTTTATTTTAAAAGTGATTAATACTAACTAAACTGATGTTTTATGTATTATCATGTAATCTATTATATATATATATATATAATAGTAGTAATATATATATATATATATATAGTAATAATTAAATGTATTTTTAGTTATAGTAATGGGTTTGTAACAGTTAGTTAGATTTGGAGATATCATTTAAAAAATTAACTAATGTTTATATAAAAAAAATTTAAATATATTATTATTACTATGTTGTCATAACAAATTTATAATGATGTTGTTTACTTATATTAATAGTATAGATAATAATAATAATAATATCTTATTATCATTAGTATAGAAAATATTAGATTTATATAAAATTATAAAAATACATTTACAGTATATTATATATATACATATGAGATAATAAATATAATATGTATATAATAAATTTACTACTACTTGAATGTACTTTTTTTTTAAAAAAAACATTATTAACTAAATTTACAGTATTTTTCATCAATAATAACTGATTTTGTTTTCTAATATAAAATTATTAGAATTATATAGAATTAATAGAATTAAAAACTTTTTGTTTTTATTTTATTAATATTTTTAAAAATAAATTTATTATCATTAATATTTAAATTAATATTTTTACAATTATAGTATAGATTATTGTGGGGAGGGGAGGGGTGGGTTTTGCTTAGATATTGTTATTAATAACGTGTAAAATTGAAAAACATAATAATATTTAATTACATAATAAGGTTTAAGGTGGGTGTGATGGGTGGGGTGGGTGGTTATGAAGTGGGGTTGGGATGCACTGTATGTATAGTTATATATATATATATATATATATATATTAGTATTTTTTTTTATTTATAATGTTATTATTAAATAATAATAATAATAAAATAATCAGCAAAATAGTAATATAATTATATATATAAATAAAACTGTTTTTGTTTTGTTTAATAAACTGTTTGATTGTAAATAATATAATAAACAAAACCACCGATTCTTAGGGTTGAACCATATGTTTCAGTAGTAGTGGTGTTGTTGTTGTTGTTGTTTCGGTACAGAGATTGGTGGCCAACAACTGGTGTCTGAACATCACTCGTCCCGTACTTATGGATCTCCTTCTTCTCCTTCTTCTTCATATTCTTCATCTTCTTCTGTGTTGTCTTTCGATTCTTTAAATGAAAAACTTGTCGACAAATATAGCTAAACATCACTTATTCTTCTTCTACTTCTTCTTGTGATTAGTTTTGCCGTTTAGTTTCCGGTCATTACATAGACTTAGAGTCTTCTCACAGATATGTTGTGTTTGTGTGTGTCGTCGACTATAAAGAAAATATTATATATATATATATATATATTTATTTATATATGTATTGTTATTATATATATATATATAGTATTAATGATTTTTTTGTTGATTAAATGATATATCATTTTCTAATATCAATAGTATCAGGACTCCTATCAGTACCTAAAAAAAAAATATTTGTAATATTCAGTATCTCTCTCTCTCTCTCTCTCTCTCTCTCTCTCTCTCTCTCTCTCTCTTCTTTCTTTCTCTCTAATTGAATAAATATAGTAGTGTTTTAGAAACAGTTAGTACTATACCGGTACTGTACTGTATTTTTTTTACTTTTAATTGTTTGGACACTAAATTTACATCTACTGTATATATATTGTATGTATATAAAAAAATTATTAGTACAGTATATGTAAAAAAATACAATTACCGTAAATAAAGTTTGAAAATAAATGCAATCAATATATATATATATTATTCAATTTATTACTTAATAAATACTACTATTAAAAAGTTATACTATCTATAGATATAATATATAAATATATATATAATACTTTTATAATTATATTATATTATTTGATAAAAAATATAAGATTTATATAATGTTTAATATAATTAGGTTAACATAAACCTAAAATAAAAAATAATTGTAATTATAACTGATTGTAAAAGTTATAATTTATTTCTAATTAAATATTTTTAAATATTCATTAATATAATTATTTAATTTTTGTTTTAATTTAAATTTTTTTGTTAAACTTTTTTTTTACATAATTGAAATGTTATTTAAAACTTTATTTAAATGTAACTTTATGATAAATAATCAATACTATGATTATAATAGTTATAATACTATAATTAAAATAACAATAAAACAATAATTTTTGATTTAATTTTTGTTTAATTATAACTAAAAACTAACAATTATTTTTAGATTATATAAACCTTAACTACTTATTATTATTATTTTCTACTTAGCATATAAATTAATGATAAATTAATTTAAAAACTATTTAATATGTGTATATGGTATACAATATACAGTATTATTATAAGTATCATCAATCAGAAAATATTATAAAATAGAAAATATTATAAAATAGAAAATATTATAAAATAGAAAATATTATAAAATAGAAACTAAAAAAAAAATACATAAAATTAAATATAAAATTACATTTTAAAAAATCTATTTTTTTAAATCATAAACTAAATATTAGTTTAATTAAAAATAAAATTTAATTATAATTTAATTGTTTTGAATTAGCATAGTAGATATTATTTAATATAATAATCAATAATACTACTACTAATTGTATTGTAAATAATTTTACTAACATTTTATTTTTGTATAGAAAATTATCATCAATTATTTAAAAAAATAAAATAAAAATGGTTTAAATTTAAGAATATTTAAATAATTATTTATCAAATAATCAATTTTACTAAGCAGATGGTTAACAAAAAAAGTATTGAATTTATTTATTTATTAAAAATGTAAATTAATATTAATAATATAATTCGAAGAAATTTTTATTTTACATTCAAAAAAAAAATAAAACTAATAGTTTTTATGTAATTAATAATAACTATTTAAAAGATTATTTGTATATTTATACTAGTACATTTAAAAAAAAAAATTAAGATTATTACTTAAATTATATTTTATAAATCTAATCAAATAGTTTTTATTCACACATATTAACTATTTTTATTTTAGTAATAAACTGTTTATTTTTAAGTATATTTTAATTTTATCTATTGTTTATTTATTAATAATTTATTAAAGTTTTAAAATTTTATAATCAATATTCGATGTTTTTTTATATAAAAAAAATCAAATTTATTGAAACATAATTTTTTATTATTAATAATTTGTATAAAATAGAAAAAAACAAAAAACAAAAAAAAAAAGTTTTATTACCGGTATAAAGTTGTTTTTTAAATAATACAGTATATATTTATAACAAATATACTGTAAATATATATATATAATTTATAATACAAGTAAACATAAAAAAAAATTTACTTTTAATTAATAGAAAAAAAGAGTTTAATGTATTATTATTACAGTATTATTATTATTATTAAATATATATATTATAGTAAACATATTATTATTATTATTATTATTCTATATATAAAAAACTATGAAAAATATGATATATATATTTGTGTCAATGTTTTTAATATTTGAAATTTTTTGTTTTTTGTTGTCTAAACAGATTGAGAGTTGAGGTATAACTGTAACTGTCATTTGGGAACCGATAATGATTTAGCAAACAGTGCGGCCATCGCTTGATTTTTGTCGCCATTATATTTTCTAAGTTCTTCGACCACTTGATCCCTATTGAAACCTAAAAATGTCAATCAATCAAAACAAACAAACAAAAATCGTTAAATAAATTTTAAAAAAAAGTATTTAATATTTAAAATTAAAACTCAATTGTTTTTAAATTATATAAACATTATTACCTAAACCCATGAGTTCCCTGACAATCGGTTCCGGGAATTCATTTACTACACCGGTATTACTACTACTGCTGCTAGTGTTTGGCTTATCTAATATAAAAAAAATAATAATTAATTAATTAACAATTATTCAAATCAATCAATCAATCAATCGCTTACTGGAATCACTAAGCGATCGTCTAATGGCTTCATCGACATCGGCTTCACCGTCGGCTAAGCCGCTGCCGCCGCCGCCTGAGCCGCTCATTGCCTTATGTTTGGCAAACTCTGGCAATTCGTTTTCGTTGAGAAATCTGGTTTCCGTACCGGTCGTACCGATAACCAATAGATTACGTTTGAGATCAATACTACACTGATGACGTTTAAGCATATCCAGGCCGAGCAACATATCCATCGGCTGATCCTCTAGTATGGTAAAACTCGAGGCCAGATAGTCGTTGGCTATCTGTATCTGACATAAGTGAATCCGACCGATAATACGTTGAGTACCGACACCTTTGGCTATACCAGACCATCGCTGATCAATAAGTCGTGTTATATTGCATCGTTCGGCGCACGCTTTCGACATTATTGTCGACTGTGCACCGGAATCGACAAACGCTTTGATTGGGAAACCATTGACCGTACAGTCAATGTATAACATCAATACTTGACCGAAACTTTCCGGTAGATATTCCATAGCGTTCTCCATATTTGAGTCGATATTTTTCTGTTCAATCTCCTGGGCTATCAATCGTTGGGCTTCGGCATCAAACGGATCGGCCAACAGCATCCTCAGTCGCTGTCGTTCGCGATCCATATGATCCTTAAGTAGCCGATTGTATAGTTCCTGAAACTGGTCGGCGCCGGCGTCCACTGCTTCGGCCAGACGTGGATTGTTCACACGCAGCGCAGCCAATTGGTCGGGATTGGCCAGCAATTGGTCGCGTATTTGTTGCGGTGACGGTTGTCCATCAATTCCCCTACCAAACAGTCCGCCACCGTTTCCACCGTTACCGCCAAACCCGGCCGTCGGTACCGAAATCTGGCTGAAATCCGGTAGCATTGATGATGTCGACGGACCGGCCGACTGGCGAATGCCCTGTCCTTCCGTATTGTCCAATACCGGTGTCTTCTTCTGTATGAGCAATACGTCGCCGTCTTTGATGGCATAGGATTTCAGCGACATCTTGTCATCCGTCAGTTGTCGGCCTTCAAACATAACCATCATTTGTTGGGCACTGATTCCCGATTCAAATTCACATAACGCCTTCAGATTTTCTACTTCCATATCATCTGATACTTCCAGACCAAAGATCAGATCAGTCATCGTAGTAATGGTCAGCTTCATGACGACGGCTGCGGCGGCGGTAATGTCACTGATATATATGATATATGAAAAATAGCAGGTCTTGCGGTCCAACCAATCACTTCTATCTGATCCGCGGATTATTATAAGATCTCTCTTCAGTTACCACGAAGACAAAGACCAGACACAGACATCCAAAACAAAAACAAAACAAAAAACTCTTGAGTTTTGATGTCTGCAGAAAAAAACGATAACTTTTTGTTTGTTTGTTTGGATTATAATTTCAAACACAAAACCAAACAACAAAAAAAACTTTTTTGTTTTTGACGTGTTTTTAGTTCAAACAAAAAATAATTGTTTCGTTTTGTTTACTAATAATTAATTTGAATTAATGTTTTGTTTAATTAATTAATTATTTATTTTTGATATAAAAAAATGTATTTTTATTTATTATATAATAAACAATAAAAAAATTATTTTATTTTATATTATTTTCCTATTTGTATAACACGTTTGGTCCGCAAGTTATTTAACGATAAGTCATTGCATTATATAATAATAATAATAATAATAATAATAATCATAATAAATGTATACATAAATTACGACCACTTAGTATACAATATATTACAAATTGCTGTATAAATACTTTATTATATTGTTATTTACAATAATGTTATGATTAAAAATAAAAATAAAATTAAAAGGGTTTATATAAGTTTCTGTACCCTATAGTAGACGTTATTTGTTGTTGATAAGTTTGTATATATGACATTGTTTTTGTGCTATTAATGTAATGTATTAATACACTACAGTTGTACAGTTGACCTCAGTCAGGGTCTGTGCATTGACGGGGGGGGAGGGAGGAGTAGAGGTACTATAGCTTTATATATTATAATAAATTTAGTATATAGTCGGGGGGGGAGGGGGTCATAGATATATACTGTAATAGAATAGGATATAAAATAAATGTCATCATGAAATAGCTCCCCACCCTATGTCCTAATCTATATTTATTGCGCAATCATTTCAACGATAAAATCAAAACATTATTATTATTACTATTGAAATACCATTTTATTTGTTGTTATTATTATTATTAAAAACTTATTATAGTTTTGTTTTTTGAATGACATTTACGGCAATAACTAAACTATTGGCCAACTATTTGAAAGATTAATTAACCGATTAATTGTTGGCCACCACCACAACAACAATGCGTGCCATGCGATCGGTATCTGTTGTACCATTGTTTCGGATAACAACAACAGCAGCGACCGTCGATAGTCTAATCGCCGCAACACTGGTCAAGTCGGCCGGTCTATCCATACGATCGGCAATAACGACAACACTGTCGAAGACAAGAGTTTTCATACGGATATTGTTTGGCCGCCAATCGACGTCCGCCGGCAGCAGCCAAACGTCAGCTAACGGCTGGCAAACAACGCTTTCATCTGAATTCAAGACACGTATAGTATCTGACGGTCGCCATCGACTACTCGCCGCCGATTCGGCCACATCTTCGCCGACCAAATTCAACAAATGGCTTAACCGTCTACTCAGTGATGGACACAAACTATTCGTTAACCGATTGAATGCCAACCAACAGATCCTACCGAAAGCTATTGTCATCCGTAATACTGGACTAACATTGGGTTTAGTGGGCGTATGCGTAAAAACCAATGACCACAACCAGCAGCCGTCGTTGACCACCGAAACCGATGTTATCGAAAGTAATTGTCAAGAAATACGTAATATTTTCCTATCCTGTCGTCAGTTCGTTGCCGGAAAACATTGTCGTCAATTGGATTCATTGCCCGACGACTTATCGCTGAATAACATTGAATTCGGTTCCTGTATAGCAAAAGGTTGTAATGGTGTCGTCTATTCGGCAAAACTCAAGAACATCGGCGAAGACAATGTCAATGAAGAGTCGGTTGCAGTAAAAATGTTGTTCAACTTTGAAGCCGAATCCAATGCTACCGACATATGGAAAGCCCTACACAAAGAGTGTCTACCATTTTCGGGTGACCTAAAGATTCTAAGCGCTGATAATATCAATTGTTTACCGATAAGTGGAGATGAAAAACGGCGGACAAAACTCGGTCCGCATCCAAACATTGTCGACATTTTGGGCGTATTTGTCGATAAAACGCCACAACTGGGCGATGCTTTACAGCTATATCCCGATGCTTTACCCGCCCGTATGGGCGGTTACGGCCGCAATATGACACTGTTTATCGTTGAAAAACAATATCAAATGTCACTTAAACAATACCTGTCGTCCGCCGCCGGTACCGTCTCTACCAATACGGCCAACCTATTGCTTGTCCAGCTGTTGGAAGCGGTATCCTATCTGACCAAATGTCATGTAGCGCACCGTGACTTGAAAACCGATAATATATTATTGAGTTTTGACGATCAAATCGGCGGCAATGACCACTGTCCGTGGCTTGTGGTCACTGATTTTGGATTTTCGCTAACATCGTTGTCGCTACCGTTTCCCAGCGATGAACTGTGTCGGGGCGGCAATCGGGCACTGATGGCACCCGAAATTATTGGCGCCCGTAGCGGCCCGACGGCCCGACTTGACTATAGGCGATCCGATTTGTGGTCAGTGGGTGCCATTGCCTACGAACTATACAATGGCCGCAATCCGTTCTATCCGTATCCCGAAGCGCCTGACTGTTGTCTATATAGTCAATCGTACACTGATTCACAACTACCTGAGCCGCCCAGCGATATGCCGCCGCTAATACAGTCGCTGGTCGTGTCGTTTCTCTCCCGTAATCCAAACAAAGTTAGTATTTATATATACAATATATAAATAGCAATTGATTTTAATAATTACTTTTTTTTGTCGTTGACTTAATTAAAGAGGACACCAGTGATAACTGCGGTAAATGTGTGCCATATTTTACAACTGATGAAACCGACAACACTATTACATAAACTGTTGACAACAACAACAGCAACACACGAGTCGGGTATCAAACGAAACAAATTGATCTATCGTTGGCTTAAGACTCTATCGATGAACACTATTGCCAATAGGCTTACCATTGATGGTAGTGGTGATGATGATGATGACAATCGCCAACCATTATTAAGTGCTATTGAATTCAAATTGCGTGTCCTATTCCTGTCTCAGGTCAAGATCGAGCACATGAACAGTGCACTCGACTATATCGCCGATAATACCTTTCCTTAAGTGAGAGAAAGAGAGAGAGAGAGAGAGAGAGAGAGTAGATCTCTAAGAGTGTTATTTTTAAAAAAAAGTTATATATTTTATATAACTATATATTTAACTAAAAATTTATTTAACTTATATTTTTTTAGTTAAACTACTACTAGTAATTATGAGATTATTATTATTATTAAATTGTATTTATAAACAAAAAACATTTATAAAATGTTTTGTTGTAAACAATTTGTTTTCAACCAAAAAAAAAACTAAAAACTAATCAAAAATTGTTGTAATTATTTAATGAGTTTAATGTAGAAAATTATGTAATAAATAGTGTAAAATATAATAATAATAATTATTATTATTATTATTAAATATTAATTCAAAATAGTATTTGGTTTATAATATTTTATCAATAAATTAATTTAAATGCAATCTAATTGCAAACAAACAAAATTAATTGTTAATAATAATAATAACTAATTTTTGATTAAAAATTTTATAAATTAATTATAATTTAGTTGAAAATTATTTTTTATTATACATTATTATCGTCTAAATTGTTTGTATTATTATTATTATTATTATTGTATTATTAAAACAGTTAAAAGTTAGAGTTGGAGCGCAACTATTCTATAGATAGGAAAGTTTCCGGAAAAATAAAATTCCTTCAAAAAACAATTTTCTGGAAAATATATAATATTACTACAAAAACAAATAATAAATTTAAAAAATACTAATTACCGGTAAAATTATTATACGATATATTAAAAATTGATAATAATTTTATTCCAATAATTAAATACAATATTTATTTATTTTTTGGTATCATTTTATTTTTACAACAATTATTATAATTCAATATACAATTAGACTGAATATAGTTTATTATTAGTTTAATTGTACACAAAATAAAAAATATCACAAAATTTATCATATTTTCAAAAAAAAATTATTTTTTTTAATTATCATAAAATATCAGATCATTTTGTTATTGTTATCAACAAAAAAAAACTAATTATAAATTTATATATAAAAAAAATAGTTTTATTTTTCTTAACAATTATTATTATTAATAATACTTTTTTTGTTGTCTCTAATGGCAAACATATCGTCCAATAGTTGCCATAAACAGCACGGTTTGGGAAACTCATTGTCAACTAAATTAACTAACAGATAGTTGTTGTGGATGTAGTCCAGTAGTTGTCTTGATTGGCTATCTTCGGGATAGAGTTGCGACCATTTTGTTTGCCATAAACTAAACGCTTCGTCTTTCCATACATTGAATGATATCGGATCGACAACTGTTGGCTATTATTATATTATTATTGAAATTAAAATAATAATTAATTAATTAATTAATTAAAAAATAATTGTAAATAATTATAATTACTTGTATTATTTCATTGCCGGGAAATACACCCCAAGTGACGGCTATCGGTGTATTCGATACAATGTTTGTGTAATTGTTTGTACCCTTAAAAAAACAAAACAATACAAAAATGTATTGAAATATATATTGCAATCAATTAGCGGTAATTAATAATAAATAAATAATTTTTTTTTATTTTTTTATTAAATACCAATTGACTGATACCAATACATACCGAAGTGTCCACTATTTGATAGTTGACTAATGGATAGCTTTTTAGGGCATCTCTTAGAGCACTGATATTGTCTTTGGGTGTAAAAAATTCCAGATATGCCTACAATTGATAGTAAAAAAACATTATTATTATTATTATTACTAAAAAAAATAGTTTTTATTATAACAAAAAACAACATATTTTTTTTATCGCTTACTTTTTGATAGACATAACCATTACTATCGCCCCAACCGTGTATGGGATCAGTTGACTGAACACCGTTAACATTTGGCTGCGAATTGATGGTCAAAACGCCGCGTTTATTCAGTTTCGACAATTCCGTAACAATCAGTCGGGTTTCGGGTCGCAGTTCTTCCTCCGTATTCCACGGTATCATCGAAACACGTTTACCATAATTATTCCGATTACCCGAAACATAACACCAGAATACATGCCAGACATCAGTTTCGCCGGTCAACTCCCGGCCCCACATATCCCTGAGTTCATCATTCGGTTTCTTTGCGTCCAAAAACAAATAGTAATCTTTGAGATCCGTAAACGCCGGCGAATCTGATCGACCCCAGCGTCCATTCGGGAATTCATCCCACGATTGCGTCCGATAGACATAGCTTTTCGGTCGAACCGACCAGAATATCGGCCGAACATCTTCCCCGCAACGGCGATGATTGGCCGGCGGTAGCCATGGCAACGGTTTGGCCATACATTTCAACCATAAACCCAACCGTTTCAGTATAGCTGTTGTCGCCAATTCACGATTTAATGTATAAAAATGAAGACCTGGTGTTGAATTCGTTGAAATCAATTGCCGACACAAACTAACTGTCCAATCGATACCATAGTTACGGACGGCTTCGTCATTGTTACGCAATCGGTTCAGATCTGTTAGGATATTCTGTGGGATATCTAGTTTCGATAGTTTAACAATTTTTTCCAATGAATCGTAACTTTGAATGGGCATAATTCCGGCCACTATCGGTACATCGATACCTTCGAGGCGACATTTGGCCACAAAATCCGTGAATACTTCGGCTTTGAAAAACAATTGCGTAATAATAAAGTCAGCGCCGGCGTCTACTTTCGCCTTCAAATACTTAATGTCCAAATCAGTCGACTGGGACTCTGGATGACAGCTCGGATAGCCGGCAACGGCTATCGTAAAATACTGGCCATACTCTTGACGTATATAGCGAACTAAATCGGCGGCAAACTTGAACTCTTGGCCACCACTGCTATCGTTGCCAATGCTATCCATCTCTTTGTTGTTGTTGTTGTTGTTGTTGTTTGTGTTGTCGTCGGCGGCGGTATCGATTCGGTCGCCTCTGAGGGCTAGTATGTTACGAATGCCCAAACACTTGGCCCGATCCAAATGCTGGCGCAGATCCCGACGGTTGAGTCCAATGCACGTAATGTGCAGCATAGTGTCCAGACCGCAATAGTTCAGTGCACAGCCGGCAATAGTTATGCTACTGGTTTCGGAATCGCCGCCCGGATTGCCGGCCGCGTGCCAAGTAATGTCGCAGAACAGTGGCCCGGATTGCCGTAAACGATCCATACGAGCAATGAGATTGATGGCCGCTTCTTTGGTTTTTGGCGGGAAAAATTCAAACGAAAAAAATGGCATCGATGTGGACGAGGGGGAGGAGGTCTGTTGGTGTCGATTAATACGGTCGATAAGCGGCACATATTTCTTGGTGTCGCTGACGGCGACAGTGGTGGTGGTGTTGGCGGCGGCGGTTGTTGTCGAGTTCATCGCTGGTAATGGATCTGTCATTGTATCTGTCTTTGCTGGTATAGTTGTGGTGGTGATGGTTGAGGTATAGTGTTTGATGGTGAGGTGGTGATGGTTGTTGTGGTGGTTGGCTATCTATTGGCGATCATCTGATGGTGTCTTTCACTAATAGCCTTTTGTCTGATTATTTTTAGGGATCAGTTTAGTGGTGTTGGTTGTGGTAGTGGTGATGATGGTTGAGGTATAGTGTTTGATGATTATGAGGTGGTGGTGGTGTTGAGGAGGTGGCTATCAATTGGTGATCATCTGATGGTGTCTTTCACTAATAGCCTTTTGTCTTATTATTTTTAGGGATCAGTTTAGTGGTGTTGGTGTTGGTGGTAGTGGTGATGATGATGGTTGAGGTATATAGTGTTTGATGATTATGAGGTGATGGTTGTTGTGGTTATCAATTGGCGATCATCTGATGGTGTCTTTCACTAATTGTGCCTTTTGTCTTAGGGATCAGTTTAGTGGTGGTAGTGGTAGTGCTGGGGATCAACACATCCACGATATGACTAGTGATATGCCATCTGTTGGATACATCCTTTAAGACACATTCAAAATGCAATCATATGTTTGGTTTGTTTGCAAAATCATTGTATACTTTAATAATAATAACAATATATTGTTTGGCATTTAATGCTTCGTCACTCACACTCATACAGTGTATTATACTAATCACTCACTCACTCACTCACTAACTCACTCAGTGTCTCATATAGTGTAAGTCAATCATAGCTAACTCACTCACTGACTCACTGACTCACTCACTAACTCAGTAGTTGTTTGTTGAATGCATTGAATAACAAATAACATTGAAATACATTCACAGATATACTGTATATATATATATAGAGAGAGAGAGAGAGAGAGAGAGACGACAACAACACAAACACTACACAAAAAACAGACACAAAAAAGTCATTTTTTTTTTTGGTTAGTTTTTACAATAAATGTTTGTTTGTGTCACCACTTCTTCTTCTGCTTCTTCTTCATCGTTAGTCATCACTCACTCACCACAACATCATTGGTATCTTATCTCTCACTCTCTCTCTGAGTGTCTTCAACTGCAGTGGTAAGTGACTGATTGATCCCTTATAAGTAAAAAAAAAACATATATAAAACGCATATCTTTTTTGTTGTCATTGTCTTCTTCTTCTTCTAGTGTCCATCACATTGTGTGGAAGTGTGTAATGAAGAAGTGATTTAGATTTGGATTTGGATTTCAATAGACAGACAGACAGACCAGTTGTTTGTCAGCCAAACTCTCGCAGATCAAGAAAGCGAGAGAAATGAGTGAATCAGATGGCAATATCACTACTACTACTACCGCCACCACAACTACTACTACTCCTGAGTTGACACCCGATGAGGTAAACAACAACACCAACAGTTGTTAGGTTTAAAAAAAAGACCATTAATTTTATTGATAATTATTATCCTCTCATTTGGAAACCATTTTAGCTAAGACGTCGACGATTGGCTCGACTCGAGACCATCACTACCACAACAACAACTACAGCTCCCGTCTCCGTCATTGCCAACAACAACAACAATAACAGCTCTCAAGATGTTGATAGTCTGAGTAGTGATGAATCAAAAGAAAACAAATGTTTGGATGAATCAAACAGTGTCGGTGTCGTCGCTATAGCTGTGGATGACGACGACGACCATAAAGAGTCACTACCCAAGGCTAGTATAGCCACTACTGATGGCGAAGTGGTAACCGATAGCAATTCATTTGATGGTACGTCTAATAAGACATCGGTAGTCGGTGTCGTCGACACTGATAGCAAATATAGCAATAATATTGGTTTCAATGATGACAACGACAACACAAACAGCAGAAGCAAACCCTTATTGCAGACACCGTTAGTGTTGAGTTGTTTGAACGCAGAATCAACTAATAATAATAATAATAATCATAAAAAAGATGACATAACTGGTGGCGAATCAGTTCCTATGGATGTCGACAACGACAATACAGTTACTGCCGACAGTAGTTCAGATAATATGGACATTACAGTCGCTGTTGTCGCCGCTGCCGCTGTCGATGATGTCCACAACAACAACAATAGTACCGACGATAAGAAACACAAAAGATTAAGATCTAGTGAACAACAATTGACAGATGAATCGACAAATGAAAGTTGTTTTTCTACTACTGGTAATAGTTTGGCCACCGCTGCTGAGGAAGCTATAAGTGGTAGTAAACCAACTTTGGATGAACTAAAGTTGGCAATGATATCGCGTGTATTATCAGTTAAATGGTTTAAGAAAACAACAACAACTACTGATGATTGTTGTTTAACTACTAGTACTGGTCCACAGTTTTTATATATAGAATTAGATGAAACAATTACTGTCACCGAAACTGATACCGATTTCGATAATTTAGTTCAATACTTGTTAATGGAAGTTATCCATCGATTGGCTACAAATGATGATTGCGGTGATAATGATTATCCGACGGCCTTAAAGTTGTATAAATTATTGCAGCAGCAAAACAATCACCGATTGACAGTAGAAAACGGTGTCATCAACTCCATCGCCGCCGCGGTTACCGAGTCGTCATCATCGTCGTCGGCAATGATTGTCACCAATCAATTAAGTCACGGCAAAGATGTCCGCTATTTGATTGTTAGCTATCTTGTCGACTGTTTTGATCGATCGATAGCCGAAGAAAAGACAATAACAACAACTACCGGTACTACTAAACAACTATTGGATCCATCAGTAGGGCAATTGTTGGGCACAATTAGGTCGCAATGTCTACATTATTCATCGCTTGTCTTTGCAAACTCATTGCCGATGACGGCGGCCACGGCTGCGGCTTCAGCGGCGGCGGCGTCACATCAGGACAACTCGCACTCAATATTGGCTCAATTTTTACTGAATCATTGGCTGCCGAAAGATTTTACATCGGCTCTGATCTCATCAATGTTTACGACGACGACAAATAATGGCAACAATTCATTAATATTATTCAAAACAATCTTCAGCCGAGTATTGCGCTGTTTGTGGCAAGAAATGCAAAAGACATGTAGTCTTGTTCGCGATTTTACAGCCTATAGACGGCCACTACAGTTGTTACTCGAGTTAACACAGATTACTGTTACGGTAAACGATAAAAATTTGCGACCCATTTGCCAATTGGTATGTAATTATCATTTGATTGATTGATTGATACAAATATTAATTAAATTATTTGGTAATTTAATAATAGATGACCGAATTGGACAATTGGTCGCCCGAACCAATAACCGAAGCCATTGGCCGAGAGTTATCTCGTTTTTCCTATTTGTCACCATTTCTTGGTCTATCGGTGTTCGCCGAAGATGACGTAAGATTGAATGATTGATATTTTTTTTCTAAATTTAAACTTAAGATCACTTTTTAACTGATCCATTGGATCAATTCAACAACAACAACAAACAAACCATAACTTTGTTTTTATTTATTTATTATTATTATTATTACAGCACAAAGTTGTTGATAAATATTTTAAGAATAGCGGCACTGATGGTAGCAGTAGTAGTGGTAAACAACTAAAGAATTCAGATCTTCAGCACCAATTGGAATCGGTTCGAACGGATCAGTTGTACGAAATATTTCATTCGCTTATATTGAATCCGACCAGTCGTGAGCCGACATTGAAATATGTTAGTCAAGTATTGTTGATAAACAAAGAACGATCGCAACTACAATCAGATGAACGACTGGTATCTGGCGATGGATTTCTAATGAATCTGCTAACAGTACTTCAGC